CCTTGTCGAAAGAAAATATTTTTGTGTAGAATAAATTAGAGACTTCAGCCTATCGATGGCATAATCAAAGTCAAAAAGATATTTTCTTTTGTTTATAAAATATACTTCACAAAACAAGTGTTACAGGATGTCCAAATAATTTTTTTACATACTGTATATGTATATACGTATGTGCCTTAATGTAGATGTAAACGATTTTTATTTTTAAAAGGAATAGAATACAACTAACTACTTATATGATATAGATGAATATATAAAAAGCACGAGAAAAACAAGAGAGAAAAGTTAAAGATGACAGAGAATAGAGGATAATAGTGGATAGTGAATAGGTATACATGCGATATCACTGTAACATATCTAATAAAAAAAAACGTTTGTACGACGTTTGGTATTCATCAAAACTGCATCATTTGAAGTTCATTATTTGTCGCTTTTGAATCCCTCGGGTCTTTTTCTGTGTGACTATCACGTTGTTGTTGCTGAAAGTTCTCGTTAGAATGAAGGCTAGGCATGAGACATGGTAATGAACTTATAGCAGAATATTGTAGTGTGATCGGTTTTACATTGGCACTGCCAGGTTTATATGACAGTTCAAAAGTTCCATTGTCGTGCTCATAATCGGTCGCGTTTCCGCTTTGTTCTTGTTGTTCTCGCATTCGTTCGACAAGATCGGCAGCAGCACGCGTTGCAGCTGCTTGCCAATGTTCGCCATGAGCTGTAATAATACATAATATGATATTTTCTTGGGAAAAAAAACATTAAACCGACCATACCTGCTAGATCGAGACCTGTAATTTCATCCTCGTGCGGTAATCGAATACCCATGATAAAGTGCAATGGAAGCAGAATTCCAGCTGTACATGCAGAAGCAAAACCTAAAGCAGATGCAAAATGATAGATGATTAATAAAACTCGGCTTCATATTTACCAATAGCAGTGAGAATGCCTATAATTTGATACCAAAGTTGAATAGGGTTTCCATAAAATGCACCATTAGCACCGCCATTTGGATTAACCCAACGTTCAGCGAATAGTCCGGTCATAAAAGCACCAGCTATACCACCTATGGAGATACTTTAACTTATTTTATAATAGACAGCATAACAAAAAAATCTTTACCGCAACCATGACAAATAGCCACATCTAGTGTATCATCGAATCGCATATATCGCTTGAACAACAAAAGACAATAGACAATGATCGCTCCAATAACGCCAATAAGTAATGCCCATCCAGGTTGAACATAACCACAAGATGGTGTAATAGATACAAGACCAACAATAGAACCTGTACAAGCGCCTAAAACTGATATGTGACCACGTGCAGCATCGATCACTACCCATGTTACCAATGCAGAAGCAGCGGCTGCATTTGTATTGACTACAGCAATAGCTGCCAATTCGCTAGAACAAAAAAATGTTGTTTTTCCTAATTTGTTATTTGTATTCTTTATAGTCTACCTGGCATTACCAGCAGAACCGCCATTGAATCCGTTCCAACCTACCCATAATAGACATGTTCCCAAAATTGTAAATGGAAGATTATGAGCAGTAGTACTATATGGATCATAATCGTGTCGTTTTCCTAAAATGATCGCGGCTACAAAACCGGAGACACCCGAAAGAATATGAACAACAGTTCCACCAGCAAAATCGAGGGTTCCTATAGCTTTTAACCATCCGTTGCTACCCCAAACCCAATGTGCCATTGGATCATAGCAGACTGTCGACCAAATAAATATGAATATCATATAGGGAATCATTTTCATTCGACCAACAATAGAGCCTGAAATGAATTAACAAAAATGATTTATCATCATTGAACTATTTTACATACCAGAAATGAGAGCTGGTGTAATAATTGCGAATGTACATTGATAAATACAAAATGTCAATAGAGGATACGTAGGACTATAGTCTACATTTTTGACTTCACCAAAACGTAATACTGCCCAACCAAATGAACCGAAACCTTTGCTTACAGGTGGACCAAATGCAAATGAAAAGCCAAAGAGAATCCATTGTACGGTTATGATGCCCATACAAATAAACGATAAAAATAGTTGATTTAAAATATTCTTTCGATCAACCATACCACCATAGAAAAAAGCTAATGCAGGTGTCATTAATAGTACTAATACTGCTGATGTTAACATCCAAGCATTGTCACCTGAATCATGAGTAACCTTGTTACCAATGGTCGACATTGTAATATTAATACTATTATTCATGTTACCAATGGTCGACGTTGTAATATTAATACTATCATTCATGATTCTAGTCGAATTTTTTTCACGCTAATAAAAAATCAATGAGAACAGAAGAAATATGTTATATTCAAATTTTATTCAATCGCAAAAAAACCAGCCGGAACACGTTTCTATATTATCGACAATAGAAGAATAGTATCGAATCAATAGTCACTGTATAAAGGCTTCTTTTGCGTTGTTTATTCAACTGTCTCATATAGAGTATAGGTTATTCATAATTAAGATATTATCGTCGTCACGCAAGAATGATGAAAAGAAAACGAAAAATAAACTGAAATAATAAGCAAGCATGTGGTGTTTTTTTTCTTACTGCATAAAAATATTCGTTTACATGTGCATCCTTAGATTAATAATTGTTCTGATTGGACAGTTGATGATGACAGCGAATGAAGTGATACAATTACAATTTGAACTATTATTTTCATCTGGTACGTAATTTCCTCGACTGAAGGGATGGTTATATGAAATAAAATATGTTTGCTAATTTGCTTACCTGCTTGCTTGCCTGCACGTATCAGGTCCCAGGTACGTATGAGAAAGACCGAGGAAAAAAATGTCAAAGCAAAAAATGTCGAAGAATAAATATCAAACAAAAAATATCCAAAAAAAAATTGTCGACGCAAAATACGTCGAAAAAAATGTCGAAAAACGTGGATCTTAATGTTCTGCATCAAAAAGATGATAAATTTATTTTATTCAACAGGATGAAACATAGGTATGTAGACAATTAAAATTAATTATAGAAAAAAAAATAAAGAAATAAAGTTCGATAGTGCAATTTTAATATAACGTTTATTTTTTCTTCGTTACCAAAAATGATAAACTATTTAATAAGTCCTTGATGTTGATGTGTTTGTTTTTGTATCGTTTATTCAAAGTATTAATTCGCTTTTGAATAGCATCAGCTGAAGTTGATTTAGGTCGACGAAAACCACCTATATTGACTTGGACGTATAAGTGTTGAAATCGACTTTCTTCATTCAAAAGACACTGAATGAATGACCATACATTTGAATGTGCTCGTTCAATACGCTGATTTAGCCCATTGTGAAAGCCTAAACATATGGATCGTACACTACATTTAAAAAAGAAAGAATATGTATACCTTTACAAATGTTATTTGTTCGACGTTGATAACCGTGTACATTCCATAATTTTAATGGCAACCCCCCCCCCCCCCCCCATAATAGAAGACTGTCTTTGGAACATTATGTGAAATTTGTAATAGAAGACCCGGTTCTTGTAAAAACCTTTTTTTTTTAACTCTTCTTAACTTTTTCGTCAAGTAATTGTTGAATTGCGTTTATTGGAGGGTGCAAGTTACGACAAGAAAGAAGAAGAACGAATAACTTATCTATGCAGAACAAAAATACATGTTTGTCGGAAAAATAGAAAAAAATTCAAGCTAGAATGAAAAAAATAAAGGAAAGAGAAATCTATAAATGAAATGAGAAAGAGAGAACGAATAATAATAAAGTTCATTTGTATCAGTAATATATATTGGTGAATATAAAACATAGAAGAACAACATCTTGCATCTCTTAGTGATGATGAAGGTCCAAGTTTTGATGATGATGATAATAGTTCTGATAGTGATTCAAATGTTGAAGTTACTTCGACTATTGATGAATCTGAAAATGAATTAGTACGTTTATCAACATATCTTCAATTAGAATCTCAATTTGATAATGATGATGATCAAAATTTCTAATGACCTGAACCACCTTCAACATTATACTCATCAGATTCATCTGATATTGAAGAATTACGTGATTCTCAACAGGTGTTATTCTCCACAAAATCGTTCAATAATAGTGATATTCAAGAACAATCGACTAAACGTAAACGACGTCAATGGACAATAAAAGAAAACTCGATGCTGTTACATTATTTGAAAATAATCAAAGTAAACGTAAAACTGCAAAAAAAAGGATGTACACCTGCTCAATTACGAAATTGGATTAATAATAAAGAAAATTTATTACAGTTGTACAAAAAAAAGGTTTGTTTTTCTTTTCTTTTAGTTTAATGTGAAACTATTTTCTCTTTTATCTATTAGGTGGTAAACGAAAACGATTAAAAGGTGGTGGTAAAAAACTCGTTTATGTTGATCTTGATCATCGACTTTTTGCTTGGTATCGATCACGACGAACCGATCCCGAAGATAAATCTTTAGCTCCAGCTGATATTCGAAGAGAAAAAGTAACTTTTCGTCATTTGGAAAAACAAGGTCGTCGAATTGCTAAAGAATTAAATCATTCTATACCATCATCAAGTTGGTATTTACGATTCATGAAACGTCACGGTTTATCATTACAACGACCCAAGAGACAAGATAAAGTACCACTTGATGAAGTTCATCGTTTAGCTAATTCTTTTTATATGTTCAATCGTCGTGTTAGTTCATGGTCAATTAAACGTGGTACTATGGGTGCATTTATTCCTGAAAATATTTGCAATATGGATGAATCTCCACTGGCACTTTTTGGTGATCAATCTAAAAGGTCTATTAATGACATTGGTACAAGTAATGAAATAAATGGGTACATAAGCAACAAGGTAATCTATTGGACTGTATCCGATTTATGTTATATATTATCATATCATAAATCAGATATTTATCTTTTTCGAAGAATTATTAATTTTTTTAACCATATTCTTCTCAGTAAATTGAAGATATATAAATGTATCCTCGAATGAAACATTTTAATGGAATTATTAATCGTAGATATAATATCAACTTTTACTCCTTCTAAGTACAAGCTGTACAGTAGGCTAGATTTTTTTTTCGCTTTTGCTTCGAAAAAAAATGATCGATATGATTCTCATCATTTATCATTTACAAAATATCTTAATAGAGAATTTCACAATTTGTTGAATTTAACTTTAGTATACCCTGCAAATACTATTAAATCTTAAAGGTTTGATCGTTCTTTTTTAATTATTTTAGAGATTTCGTACAGTTATTCTTACTTTTTTTGCTAAAAATCAACGAATGCAACCAGTTGTGTTATTTACAGGTAAAGGTAATATTGGTATTGATAAACGTCAAAAATAGGCAAAAAATGTAAATGCTATATTTACACCAAAAGGTGTAATTAAGGAACAATCAATGAATATATATTGTAAAAAATGGCTAGAGAAGGTAAGACAACATTGTTTGAGCACAGAAAGAGAATGTATATGAATATAATATGCTGATAGTGTGATTTTTATTATGAATCATCTTCAGAATAAGACAAAAGAATATCATCACTTTGAGAATTTCACAAACATTATAATCTATTATGTCAATAAAGGTTATTGTTTATTTGATAGGTGGGTGATGGTCATCCTAAACTGCTCATTATCGATTCTGCTAATTCTCATCTACAACCTGAAATAATTCAAAAGCTACGAAAGGAAAATGTTGTAGTATCTATTATTCCAAAAGGATGCACATAATATCTACAGCTACTTGGTACATCAGTTTTTTCGGTATTCAAGAACCATTATCAAGCTGCTGCTAATGAATATATTGATCATCATAGTTCACGTAGTAAGATTAAACTAACTGCTAAACAAAAAAGAATTTTATGTACTCGTTTAGTTTCGACGGCATGGATTCGTACTCAGAAAAGTATCGATTTCGAACGTGCTTTTCTTGGTATTGGCTATATATGGGTGGATCAATCTCCTGTTTCTATTCGAACTTTACCCGGTCCCAGGTTCAATAAAACGGCGTCGTAAACGGCCTGAAACGGCTATAAAACGGCG